TGCTATTGCTTTCTTCATGACTTATACATGTTCCTATGACTATGAGATTATGCAACTCCCAAATATCAGAGGAACACTTTGTGTGCTACCAAACGTCACAACATAACTGGGTGATTATAAAGGTGCTCTATAGGTGTCTCCGATGGTGTTCGTGGAGTTGACATAGATCAAGAATATGATTTATCACTCCGATTGTTGAAGAGGTATCTCTGGGCCCTCTCGATAATGCACATCACTATAAGCCTTGCAAGCAATGTGACTAATGAGTTAGTTGCGGGATGATGCATTACAGAACGAGTAAAGAGACTTGCCGGTAACGAGATTGAACTAGGTATTGAGATATCGACAATCAAATCTCGGGCAAGTAACATACCGATGACAAAGGGAACAACGTATATTGTTATGCGATTTGACCGATAAAGATCTTTGTAGAATATGTAGGAACCAATATGAGCATCCAGGTTCCGCTATTGGTTATTGACCGGAGACGTGTGTCGGTCATGTCTGCATAATTCTCGAACCCGTAGGGTCCGCACACTTAAAGTTCTATGACGATCGGTATTATGAGTTTTTGTGTTTCGATATACTAAAGGTAGTTCGGAGTCCCGGATATGATCATGGACATGACGAGGAGTCTCGAAATGGTCGAGACGTAAAGATCGATATATTGGATGACTATGTTCAGACACCGGAAGTGTTTCGGGAGGTTTCGGACATTTACCGGAGTACCGGGAGGTTACCGGAACCCCCCGGGGAGTATATTGGGCCTAATGGACCTTAGTGGGAGAAGAGGAGGGCGGCCAAGGGCGGCCGCGCGCCCCCTCCTCCTCTAATCCGAATTGGACAAGGAGGGGGCGGCGCCCACCTTTCCTTCTCTTCCTTTCTCCCTTCCTTCTCCTCTCCTACTCCAACTAGGAAAAGAGGGAGTCCTACTCCCGGTGGGAGTAGGACTCCCCCCTTGGCGCGGCCTCCTCCTTGGCCGGCCGCCTGCCCCCTAGCTCCTTTATATACGGGGGCAGGGGCACCCCATAGACACAACAATTGATCTGTTGATCTCTTAGCCGTGTCCGGTGCCCCCCTCCACCATAATCCACCTCGGTTATATCGTAGCGGTGCTTAGGAGAAACCCTGCGTCGGTAGCTTCACCAACATCGTCACCACGCCGTCGTGCTGACGAAACTCTTCCCCGAGCTCTACTGGATCGTGAGTTCGCGGGACGTCACCGGGCTGAACATGTGCTGAACACGGAGGTGCCGTACGTTCGGTGTTCAGGATCGGTCGACCGTGAAGACGTACGACTACATCAACCGTGTTGTTATAACGCTTTCGCTTAACGGTCTACGAGGGTACGTGAACGACACTCTCCCCTCTCGTTGCTATGCATCACCATGATCTTGCTTGTGCGTAGGATTTTTTTGAAATTACTATGTTCCCCAACAGTTTTCAGGGTATAAGAGTGTATATATGCGAAAGAAGTAGGTCAGTGGAGCTGCGAGGAGCCCACGAGGGTGGGGGGCGCGCCGCCCTACCTCGTGGCCTCCTCGCTGCTTCCTTGACCTCCACTCCAAGTCTCCTGGATTGCGTTTGTTCCAAAAAAGATCCTCGCGAAGGTTTCATTCCGTTTGATATTCCTTTTCTGCGAAACACTGAAATAGGCAAAAAACAGCAATTTGCACTAGGCCTTCGGTTAATAGGTTAGTCCCAAAAATAATATAAAAGTACATAATAAAGCCCATTAAACATCCAAAACAGATAATATAATAGCATGGAACAATTAAAAATTATAGATATGTTGGAGACGTATCAGCCACCAACTGGCTGATCCCGGCGCCGCCCACCGCCCACCACCGCTAGATAGCCCATTCCCTGTCGAAAAAAGAGTAGAGGTTTCGCCGAGGCAGCCTCTCCACCACCGGCTGGGCGATTTTTCCAGTGTTCCGGCCGCGGAGGGGTAGTGTAGCGGCGGGTGCGCGCCCACCACGCCCGCAAGGTGTTCACCGATTTGCCTGCCTCGTCAATGGACTCGGACGACGAGGAGGCGCTCGCCGCGCTGCTGGAGACGGAAGCCGAGGCCAGCGTCCAGGAAGAGGATCATCCCATGGTCCTCGTCGCCCTCGCCGGCCTGCTGGCGAGCAATGAAAACCCGCGGCGAGGTGGTTCGGCGCCGGGGCAGATGAAAGCAAAGAACCGGCATCGTCTTGAAGGCTACTGCATACTCTACTCCGACTACTTCGCCGACGCTCCACTGCACGGCGACAAAGCATTTATGCGTCGTTGTCGGATGAGCCGAAAGCTTTTTCCCAAGATTGTGAATTCCATCTGAAAGTTCGACAGCTACTTCAAGTGCAAGAAGGATTGCACCGGCAAACTTGGATTCACCTCAATCCAGAAGTGCACGACAACAATGAGGATGCTTGCATACGGAGCTCCCGGTGATTCACTCGACGACTATGGGCGCATGGCCGAGTCCACCACCATTGAGTGTTTCTACAAGTTCTGTCGGGCAGTGATGGCAGTGTTTGGACCGCAATACTTGCGAACACCCAATGCGGAAGACACTGCTCGGATCCTAGCACAGAATACAACAAGAGGATTTCCTGGGATGCTTGGAAGCATCGGCTGCATGCATTGGAAATGGAAGAGCTGCCCATTTGCTTGGCAGGAGATGTACAAAGGCGCCAAAGACGGTTGCAGTGTGGTACTTGAGGCGGTGGCCACAAAGGACCTCTGAATTTGGCACTCCTTCTTTGGTATGCCAGGAACTCACAATGACATCAACGTGCTGCAGTGCTCCCCTGCCTTTGCCAAGCTTGTTGAAGATCATTCTCCTCCGGTGAATTTCGAGGTCCATGGGCGGCACTACAACAAGGGGTACTACCTAGCTGATGGATTCTATCCGAGATGGTCTACATTTGTGAATACTATCTCGAACGCTGTGCCAGAAGGCAAGAAGTCCCACTTTGCCAAGGTGCTGGAGGCTTGCAGGAAGGATGTCGATCGGGCATTTGGTGTGCTCCAATCTCGATTTGCTGTTGTCCGGTATCCTGCTCAGACCTGGTCGAAAGATCAAATGTGGGAGGTCATGACTTGTTGTGTCATCTTGCACAACATGATTATCGAGAGCGAGGAGGAAGAGCCAGTGTTTGACATTGAACCATACTACAGGTAAGGTCCTCTAGCCGAAGTTGATCACCAGCTACCAGCAACCTGCACTGCCTATCTTAGTATGCGTCAGAAGATTCGAGACCCACATGTGCATCATCAACTGCAGCAGGATCTGGTGGAGCACCTATGGATGATCAAGGACGATGCCTAGCTCGACGTGTGATGAAATATGAGTTTTTATTTGTTAAACTATATAATTTGTATTGAACTATTTTGTTGAACTATTTGATTTTGTGTGATAAAATATGTAATTAGAAAACTATTAATGTTGAAAATTCAACACCGAACCACGCCGAATATGGGCCGATTATCGCCGATATCGGACCATTTTGCGCCGAAAGTGGGCCGAAAAGCGGCCAGGAATAAGCCGATATCGACGCCTGGGGCGACTTGGGGCGACGGCTGGATGCTCAACCGCCCCAGAGCCGATTCTATCGCCGGCTCATCCCCGAACCGCGATTTTTATACCTCCTGAGGGCCAACACCTGAAGATGCTCTTACTCGATTATACACTGCGTATGCTTGACTAGATCGATAGGTACAGAGGTCAGATCGAGCCGGATGCTGAGTAGGCACCGCATGGGCCCCATGCTCAGAAGCAAACAGTGCATCAGATCGTACTTGATACGTTTTGTTGTCCTTGAAAGTGACTGTTGAGAAAATCTAATATCTGTACCGACTAGCGAGAGCTTATCTCTTTCTCAGTAGGTTTCTTGGTGGCGTCGTTAAAAACGCTAATCAAGTGGCCGGGCTTTGACCTGCAGCAGCCAGCAGGGGATGCCATGCGGAGACGTCCAGCAAGGAGGCCACACGTGATCGCACCTGTGGACGTGTGCCACCTACTTCACCAAATACGCGTCAGGTTCTATGCATATGCATCAATGTATGTGCTTGTTTGTTTGCCGAGGAACTTAACCAATGGTGTCAGACTGTCAGTGGTCAGTTAGATATTCAGACGTTGTAGTAAGCAGGAAGCTTGGTTAACTGCATAGCGCCTGAGTTACGACGCGTCTATTGATTACTGTGCTGTCTGGTCTTGCGTTGAGAGGTCAACTGTGCCACCTGCACTTCAAGAAAGTCATCGTGAGTGAAAATATGTGCCAGGTAGATAAACTGTGCGCGAGAGTTGCTGAAATAGTTGCATGCGATTGTTCCCGTCCAATCAATTTCTCAACTTACAGAGAGTGACCGCTGGGCCATGGTGGTGGCGTTCATCTTCGATGGCACGCAGGTAGGCGGTAGCCTCATGACAACTCCGGGTCTACCACAGTCAGGTTAGGCAGCGGCGGGGGAGCCACCATGTGCGTAACGTACGCTACGAACTTGATGACCGGCCGGGGAGACGAGGGGCGGAATGCGAGCATGTCGGCGACCGGCGATGCATCCAGATCGGCACGGAAAGGCGGTCGCCGCACCCGGGGGAGGCCGGGGACGACCGAGGATGATGACCACTCATGAGATGGGACCCGGCAATTGCGTGCGTAGTGTGAGTGAGATACCGCGTCCGTCCTTGTGGGCCGGGATGGGAGGCGAGATGCCATGCGGGCGGGCAGTCCGCCCGCGATCCCGGCGGGTCGGCTCGCGCGTCACGAGGAGCGCTTGGATTCCCACGTTTTCCACCCGCCAAGTCAGCGACCCCGTCCCAGCCCAGCCCCCGCCACCACCATTTAACGCCCGGCGCCACCACCACTTGTGAGACTCCCCGCACCCCACCCCGTCATCAAGCGCCAATCCCCACCACCTCCTCGGCCCACCCAACACCAGCTCCAAACGCGCACGGCCAGGCCCCAAGCCGGCCCCTCGCTCCCTCCCTGTACTTGCCGGTGCCCGCGCAGATGGACGGCGGCGCGACGGCCGCGGCGCTCGGCGCGTGGGAGGCTGTGCAGGGCTTCTTCACGCCGGCCACGCTCTTCCTCACCGTCAACCTCGTCATCGGCACCATCCTGCTCACCTCCCGCTCCCACCAGCGCCGACGCCAGGGCGGCCACGACGGCGACCACCAACAAGAACCGCTCCACCACGTGGAGCCGCAGCAGCAGCATCAGGAGGATCTGTACTACCGCGACCAGCAGCACGAGCAGCAGCAGCAGTACGTGCCCCCGCCGCCGGCGCCGGCGCCGCTGACGCGCACCTCGTCGGTGCTCGACCGCCTCCGCTCCATCGGCCTCTACCGCTTCCGCTCCGGCGACTTCCCGCCCGAGTACGCCGCGGGCGCCGTGACCGACTCGCGGGATGTGACGGCCTCTCCGGAACCGGAACCAGCGCCGACGGCCGGAGACGCCCACCACGCCAGGAGGCGGTCCGAGCCCCCGGCGCGGGTGGAGAGGAGGCGGGCGCCGCCGTCGAAGATGAAGAGGTCCAGCTCCGAGGCGAGGAGGGCCGAGGTGGCCCCGGCGCCGGCGGCTCGGGTGGTCCAGCCGGCCGTGCTGGAGGAGGAGGAGCACGACGACGACCTCGTAGAGCACGCCGCGAGGTCGGACACCGAGTTCACTGACAACTACAACAGCTTCACGACACCGCCGCCGGAGCAGGAGCCGGAGGAGGAGCAGTACTACCGCGAGGAGTACGTGCCTCCATACAGGCCGGCGCCGCTGGCGCGCGCGCCGTCCGTGCTGGAGCGCCTGCGCTCCTTCAGCCTCTACCGCTTCAACTCCGGCAACCTGTCCCCCGAGCTCTCCCCCTCGCCGGACCATGCCGTGGCCTCCGTCGCGGCGGCGGACGAGAAGAAGACGTCGACTCAGTACAGCAGGAGCCGGTCGGAGCCGGCGCGGGAGCAGGGCAAGAAGGGCGAGAAGCCGCAGCAGCAGGGGGAGAAGCAGGGGGCGGAGGGGAAGATGAGCAAGTCGAGCTCGGAGGCGAGGATGCTGCCCCCGCCGCCGCCACCACCGCCGGAGGTGGAGGAGGGCGGCGTGGACGCGCGGGCGGACGACTTCATCAACAGCTTCCGGAAGCAGCTCCAGCTGCAGCGGCTCAACTCGCTGCTCAACTACAAGGAGGTGCTCAACCGCGGCGCCAAGTAGCAAGCCGCCGGAGAAGAAGATCGCGCCGAAGAGCAGTAGATCATCACCCTACTCTGCCAAGTGGTTCATTAGCAGATTATTAACTACTACTACATACATTTTCCTGCATGTGATTAGAGTAATACTGTGGCGCTAATTAATCTGTTAATTACTCGAACATGGCATGACTTGAGAGAGTTGGGATAGATGGCAGTAGCCGAGTAGGCGCTGATGAGTGAACAGTGAGTGATGATGCCGGGTGGTTTGTGCGTCTCGATCTCTCGCCCTCGCGCTCTCGATCTTTTGCTGTCTGCTTCGTTCCATGGCCTCGGAAAGAAATTTAAGTCCTGGGAGCGAGTTTAGGATCTCAGTTACTACAGTTTGTTGTCAGGCAGGATGGCCCGTGCAAGCGACGCTTCCATGTCGATGTACGTACGTCGCCTGTGGTTGGCCGTAACCCGACGCGATGGTGGCCGCCCTTTGCACCCATTCGTCCAGTGGTCGCCGTTTCTCGCGATTTCGTGCACGCGACCTGTCAATCGTACTACTAGAAAGCAGTAACGGATTGGAATTCACCACGGTCCATGATGCCTCTTGTCCTCTTATGGAAAAAACCGTCACCTGTCGCGTTCAAGATACGCGTATATACGTATGCTTCGAAGGCGTAGCCGTATGTAGATGTGTTGCGTTCTCCGTATACGTACTTGGTGACATTTTTACTGCTGCTCCGGTCACGAGTCCTCGGTCGCCCTCCATCTTTAATCCCTGGCCGCACATGTCCAGGTCGTGCCCCTCCAGCGGTGTGACAGAGTTTGCTCCGCTCCTGGTGACATGAGGAGTGCAGAGCATATCCCAGCATTCGTGCGCCTATCCACGACCCGCCAGGTCATCCCTGCAGGCTGCAGTCGATGGGTCCAAGACGTGGCCACGTCGTCGGTCGCCGGCCGGCCGTCGCTCTCCGGCAAGCGTGCGCGAGTCTAGTATGTGTCCGTCTAGAAGGAAACGCCGGCGTCTGCATCTCGGCCAAGAGTGACCGAGACGGCCGCTGGCGTGGTCTGGTCTGATCCGTTGCAGACGCTTGCTATGTGGTACGGAAATATGGAGTGGTATGGACATCAAGTAGAGTAGAGTAGAGTAGAACGTCATGATTGTTCGAGATTAGAATGGTTTCGTGCATCCCTATATGTGGTAGTACTAATAGGAAAAAGTAAGATGGAATTAAATGATTACTTGCTGGTGCTTGGGTAAAGATGTGAAATAAAAGAAATATGGTTCAAGTCATCACCATTTTATAAGGTTAAAAAAAGGTCATCACCATTTAGGGCATCACCAACGCTGACCTGTAAACTGGACACCACATTCACCAACGGACAGGGAGATCAGTCAGCGGACACGGATGTGAAGCCGGCCATCTAACGCTATCCACATAAATTCATAAAACACGACATAATTCATCAAAATTCGGATAAAAATAGCACAAACCATTCATACATAGCATAAAAATAAGTCTAGTACAACAATAGTTCAAATTCAACTAGAATAACCGGATGACCAACACGTTTTTTATGAACAGATGTCATCCCACACATACTGCCCATGAACTTCATCCAACAATGTATGTGTGTAAATAGTCTGCCCTATATCATGTGGTACATCACGTCATCACCTTCAAGCTACGCAATGTGTAGAGCAACATCGAGTGAATGAATCAAAAAAGCTAAACTTACGATCCTTTCGGCTGCCGTGTGAAATGGCCACCTTGCCTTCAGCCTATCAAATGTGCCATAAACCTTGGCGACGGCGATTTGGATGGTGTATCATCGATACACTAACGTCTTCACATTGCGTTCATGGATGACGTGTATGTCGTAGGACGAAATGTGCTTTAGCGCGTGAAACGAATCATGCACACGTTGCAAGAAGAGTCCCTTCTACTCCTGTCTACGAAATCCGCGGATACGGCAAACCATGCATTGCATAAAACTCATCCTCCCTGCTCGAGTACCCCGTTGTCCTTCATACTTATAAAAAATGACAAGAAGTTCGAAAATAAGCTCGATGACAATTGGCTGACTGTCGGGTGTGATGACCGCCATACGGACATCCTCGATAATGGGGACAAAGGTACCTAGTTGTGGATGGAAACTGGATGGACGGCGTTGTAGTACAAGACAAGCGGGGCCCTGGGTGGTGGTATGCGCGGCTCTTTCTCCTCTCACGATCTTTTGCTGTCTGATTCCCCGGCCTTTTATCTCAAATCGAGTTCCTTTTTCAAAAAAAAAAAAACTTAAATCGAGTGTTTGGAGGAGCTTATGATCGGTCTCCTGCTCGGTGGCCCGTGCAAGCGACTTCCCCAAGAGAGCCAGGACGGGTGAATACGGCAGGGTTCCTGAGTCGCTGTAACGTGCTCTGTCCAGTGGTAGCCTTTCTCTCGCGGCTTCTTTCGGGACCTGTCAATCGTAGAAAGCAGTGTGTCCCGGAGTATAATGTAGACTGTAGAGTACAAAGCAGTAACGGATTCGAATTGACCACCGTCCATGCATCTTCTTCTTGGTCCATTCGAGAAACTTGCTGTGAAGGCGCATGCACTGACCGTGCATATTCCTATCTGGACGTGTTTTTGACGTTCCCTTGGTACGTATATACTGGTACTTCGCAGCCAAGTTTACTTGGCACTTGGCAGAATATACATAGCGGAAGCGACGTTTACCACGTACTCCGATGTCCGATCGACCACGAGTCCACGCCGTGCGTGCGCCACAGAGTGACACTTGCAAGTTGCAAGAAAGTCGCAAGTCGGCCGCTCCCGCTCCCGTCCAGAGCAGTGAAAACCTGTGTCCACCCACCTGATCAGCACGCAACACGCGTAGGCCGGCGTAGCCCAGTCGAGTCGAGTCGACGCCGCAGTGCTTCAATCTGGACGCTGGACTGGATAGCCAATCAGCCGACCGGAAGTAATAGCCACGTCGTCGGTCGCCGGCCGTCTCTCCCAAGAAGTCGAGTCCAAGTCCATCGGTGGCGGTGCACGGCGTCCGCGTCTCCGCGTGCGAGGTGGCGGTCCACGGCGCCAGCCCGGCGTCTCGTTGCACAAGTTGCATGCCTCGTCTCGTCGGAGTTCCGATGACCCGATCGTGACGTGACGTCGGCAGGAAAGCAGCGGGAGGTCGCCGAGCACTCCAAGCCTAGGCGAAGGCAGCATTTAAAATATCGTCCTAACTCGTGATTCCGCCGTCCGTCAGACCACTCGTCGCTGCAGTGAACATGGCGTCACGGTGATGCCATGGATGATGTGGCCGAGCAATTAGGCGTCACCTGTTAGGCCGAGCAATGCTACATCAAGGGAGTGTTACGGGCTTTTTATGGGGTAAATTTGAAGTGGCAATCTGTGATTGGATCAAAAGAGAATGGACGGCCCCACCCCTGAAAATCAGGGGGCAAGTATTAGTCGGTTGGAAGATCCATGAATACTCCCTCCATTTTTTTAGTCTCTATATAGGTTTATATGAAAAAGTACCAAGATTCATAATATGAAATCAACGTTGTTAGATGCATCTAGTTAGCCCAATAAGATGTAAGATAATAAATAAGGTACTTTCCCATACATTGGAGCTTGTGCAAGGGATGTTGCTTCATATACATACAAACTTACTCTCTTCCCTCATTTATTGTATGATACATCATCAAAAATCTTATGTGGCAAAATCTACCAACAACTATTTTAAATTACCCACAATAAGGCTCCTCCCAATGCTCCACCTTGTACAGGTGCTAAGGCTGCCATGTAGGCAAAAAATCTGATGTGGCAAGGTAATTAAGAGGAGAGAGATGAGTGTGATGACCCCAGGAAGAAACAATGCCAAGCGCGAGAACCTAGGCAAAACATTTAAATGAAAGAATCCCACCAATGCATGAAGAACTTTAGTTGCAAAATCATTAAATGACGGATACTTAGGGCATCTCCAGCCGTTGGCCCCCCAGGAGGGGCAAAAAATCGCCCCCTGGGGGCGCACTGGCGCTAAACCACGCATTGGGGGCGTGATGCCCCCCAGTCGCGGCCCCCCACGAGTTTTTAAAATGTTTAAATTCGGCGCAAACACAACGCAAACACGGGCGAGTTCGTTCAAATTTAAACATATTTTACAAAAAAAAACTACCGCGGGCTACCCCCGCCGTCTCCCTCGCCGCCCGCCCACACGGTTCTACATGCCGAGGAGGCTATAGAACCGCATGTAGTCACCGCCGTCGTCGTCGTCGTTGTCGTCGCCCCCGCCTACGTCTCCGCCGTCCCTGCTGCATCCCTCCCCCGGTTGGCGCGGCGGGTTGGACGGTCCGGGGGCATCGTCATCGAGGACGACGACACCGTCCTCGTCCTCGCGCCCACGTTTGCGGGCGGCGATCTCCTCCAGGGCCCGGCGCTGCCGGATCATCTCCTCGCGCAGGTAGTCGTCGCGCGACCACCGCATGGCGTCCTCGTCGGAGAAGCCGCGCCGGGCTATCTCCTCGTACTCCGGGGGGAGGCTGGGCTCCACCTTGGGCTCGACGAGGGCGCCGGAGCTGCGGGTACGCGCGCTGACAGGCGTGTCCTAGGGCTCCGGCTTGATGGGGCGGAGGTGGGGGCAGGGAGAGCCGCCGGACAAGGAGGAGGACACCCCGGTCTCCATGCGCCTCGGCATCCAGGAGCTTCCCCAACGGCCCCGGCGGCGTGAGAAGGACGGGGGAGCGGGGTACTCGAGGCGCGGCGTGTTGCCGCCCTCGATGTACTCGAGGACGGACTCCAACGTGCGCCCGAGCACGCCCCACCACCGACGCCGGCCGGCGGCGTTGAACCTGCCGGAGGGCACGACGCCGTTGGTGGCCTCGAGCTGCTCGTCGTGCCGGCGGCGGAAGTACGCCTCCCAGATTGGGCTGTCGGGGACGTACCGGGGCCCCTCCCTCGCCGCACGCGGCAGGGACGAGCAGATGCGTGCGATCTCCGCACGCCGCGCCGCGCCGGTGGGTACCGGGGACACCGGCACGCCGCC